ATTTTTACGCTATATTGATATAGGTCATATTTGAGCAGTACATTTGAACATATTATTAGATATGTAATTAGATACATTCCCAGTTAGGTACATACATAATTAGGTTTACAGTAGTTAGGTAGTACAAATCATATAATAATACAAATGGTAGATTTAGTAATGGGATTCGATTTGTTTTGGCATAATACATTGTTTCTATTAAAGCCATACTGGAAGAGTATCTTAGACAAACTTAGGAATAACTTAAGATTTAATAGGCAATAGCTATACAGTGGACCCCCGGTTAACGATATTTTTTCACTCCAGAAGTATGTTCAGGTGCCAGTACTGACCGAATTTGTTCCCATAAGGAATATTGTGAAGTAGATTAGTCTATTTCAGACCCCGAAACATACACGTACAAATGCACTTACTTAAATACACTTACATAATTGGTCACATTTGGAGGTAATCGTTATGCGGGGGTCCACTGTACTATTAGGAATTTTATGTTTACAGTCTGTATTGTTTTGGATTTGTTCATGATACAAGAAAGAGAACTGGGTGATTTTCATTTGGTTAGCTGATGATGGGGTGTGTTAGGGAGACGAGATTTTTTTAATGGTAGTTTTGAAAATGGTGGCTAAGTCTGCGGTTCTAGAGTTTTCAGGCAGGGAGTCCTAGATTTTTGGCCCTTTTACGCACATCAAATTTTTGTAGAGGTTTTTGTGTATGGTGTTGTGTATGCTGGGAGGCAGTTGAACAGTCTCGGGCCCCTGACACTTATTGTATGGTCTCTTAACGTGCTAGTGACACCCCTGCTTTTCATTGGGGGGATGTTGCATCGTCTGCCAAGTCTTTTGCTTTCATAGTGAGTGATTTTCGTGTGCAAGTTCGGTACTAGTCCCTCTAGGATTTTCCAGGTGTATATAATCATGTATCTCTCCCGCCTGTGTACCTGTATTCCCTGGAACGCAGGCGGGAGAGATACATGATTATATACACCTGGAAAATCCTAGAGGGACTAGTACCGAACTTGCACACGAAAATCACTCACTATGAAAGCAAAAGACTTGGCAGACGATGCAACATCCTCCCAATGAAAAGCAGGGGTGTCACTAGCACGTTAAGAGACCATACACTAAGTGTCAGGGGCCCAAGACTGTTCAACTGCCTCCCAGCATACATAAGGGGGATTACCAACAGACCCCTGGCAGTCTTCAAGCTGGCACTGGACAAGCACCTAAAGTCGGTTCCTGATCAGCCGGGCTGTGGCTCGTACGTTGGTTTGCGTGCAGCCAGCAGTAACAGCCTGGTTGATCAGGCTCTGATCTACCAGGAGGCCTGGTCACAGACCGGGCCATGGGGGCATTGACCCCCGGAACTCTCTCCAGGTAAACTCCAGGTATGGGCCCTGTTGCAACTGTCAAGAAATTGTTTTAGTTCAGGGTTAAAATTAGAGTTTATGGTTCTGATCAACTTCAAACTTTTACCATTAATGGGTTTTATTATAACACAGCCTGTTACTCACCTTGAGCAGTGTAAATTTTAATTTGCCAGTTTTATTAAGCAAATTGTTTCCCATGTTAAGATGCACCCTCAATGATGGTGCATCTTAACAGGAAGTATTTTTTATTACTTCTGATCTGTGTAGATACCAATTTGCCTTTTTTTTTTTTTTTTGCAAATTTTATCAAATTGTATTTTTAAAAAATCTAAATACTTTTTTCTCCCAGGATTGTAGAAAATTAAAAAAAAAAAATGCAAATACAAAAAATAAACTAAAGAAAATGATAATACTACATTGCATGCATATTTATGACAATTTAAAGTTTAAGACGAGACTTTCCTATTTTCAGGAACATTTTTGTTTATCACAAATTTTTGTTTATTACTCGAGAACACCTTATTTGATTGGCTTTAAAATTTCAAAACTTGTGTGATGTATGGCAAGATTTATGGGACTATTTGCATGTCTGGGTTCCCTGGGCATAATGCTATACAGTGGACCCCCGCATAACGATTACCTCCAAATGCGACCAATTATGTAAGTGTATTTATGTAAGTGCGTTTGTACGTGTATGTTTGGGGGTCTGAAATGGACTAATCTACTTCACAATATTTCTTACTGGAACAAATTCGGTCAGTACTGGCACCTGAACATACTTCTGGAGTGAAAAAATATCGTTAACCGGGGGTCCACTGTATAGGTCACTTCTATATTTTTGTTTCCATGTGATTAGTGGAGAAAGGCTTCTCTGATTGACCATTTTGCCACTTTCAACATTGAAAATAGCACATACTGTATATTATTATTTTACCTTATTACATTATTTTACCCTTGATCCAAGGAACTGGACTTATCTTCCCCTTGCTTTAATCAAATTTGAATGGCACCAGTTTAATGGCACCTGTGAATGGCACCAATTTTTAATGGCTGATGCATTGTATTATTATTATTATAATCAAAAAAGAAGCACTAAGCCACAAGGACTATACAGCATGATACATTGTAAAATAAGATTTCATTTGGATTTTTAACCCTGAAGGGTTAGCCACCCAGGATAACCCAAGAAAGGCAGTGCATCATCGAGGACTGTCTGTTTTATTTCCAATGGGGTCCTCAAGCAAGTAGGTACCTACTTGCTGCTAGGTGTAAGGAAATGCGTTGAAAATGTTTCTACCCCTCCGGGAATTGAACCTGGGCCCTCCGTGTGTGAAGCGAGAGCTTTGCCAGCCAAGCCACGGGGCCACTTCATAGGTTTAGGCTGTGTAGGTACAACTGCTGATTCTGTGTAATAACCAGAAAATGCGTCTTCTGGTCAACTTTAAATGTTTAGTGCTGATATGTTTTCCTCCAAGGAAACAATCTCTTGATGTTAGATTGTGTGGGTTATCATGAGCCAAGTTTATTAAGCTGGTTTCTGTGAAATAATTGAAGACTGTCTCTTCTGATAAGAAATAAGTCACAGTGTTTGACTCTATTTGGTTATCTTATGTTAAATTAGGTTAATGTTATTTGTGTCTATAACATGTATGTGGCCTCAAGATCATACTTAAACATTTTTGTGTTATGTACACTAGGCTTACAAAAAACTTACATGATTACTTACTTTCTTTCTCAAAAATTGGTCAGTCTTGCTTAGATAAAGGCTAGATTGATTTTAGCCTGCATAGGTCCCAGTTTGCTTTTTTTTTATAAGAAAATTCGAAAAATTGAAACACTGCTTTCCATGTGATAATTTATGTGCCGCATCTGATTAACTTTAAGCCTTCCGTGTTCATGTTATAATGCAACTTCTGAGTGGCTTCAAACTTCACATGCTTGTTTACTTTAGGATACTGGTCTCTCTGGTCTCTTTGAGCAGCTTGAATTAAATTTGGCCTGTATATGTCCTAATTTACAATTTTTATTCAGGAAATTTAAATATTATTTTCCATGATGATGATTTATGAATGCCTCTTCTGAGCCCTTCAAATCTTCAACAGTGATATTTAACTGCATTATCAACATACGTATATTGAACTCTGCCTGTTGCAATCATGTGTATTGAGGCACAAGGGATTGGGATTATGGAATATGGGGAGACCTTTCTCGGATCATGTAGCAACCGAAATACATCAAGTTTTGTATGTTATTATCAGTGGCGGCTCGTCCATAGGAACTGCAGTCCCCCTAGATGCTCACTGCCAGATGAATGACTTCATCAACCTTACGCTAAAATAATTTGCAACTGACAAATATATTACAGGAAAAATCTGTTGTATGTTGTTTTCAATGTATTTATAAGCAAATTTTTAATTTTGTTGAAATGAGATAAAAAATTATTAAAAACAGAAGTTTGATGCAGTACGGTAGTAGTATAGGTATTATTGGCGTTACGAGCTGCCACTGGTTATCATATTTCCACTGGTCCTTCTGTCCTAAAGGGTTGTTAGGTTCAATTCCTCAAGTCTCTTTTTCATAGATCTGAGAGTAGTCTCATTGCATACTTTTGCACTTTCTCCAGCTTCTTAACATACTTCCTCAGATGTGAGTTCCATACTGATGCTGCATACTCCAAGATGGGCCTGACATGTTATGTAAGAACCCGGAATTCAAAATACAAAATACAGTAAAAACAAACAGAATTGACAGTAATGAAGGCTAAACAAGTTGACTGATATACTAGTTTGCATCTGGTGGTCATTACACCCAGCTAACCTAACCTCGAGGTTGGCAGACTTAATGTCACATACCCATGTCAAATATCATCATATCACCCAAATATAAACACAAATTGTTGGCATCACACTAATACCACAAAAATTACCATAAATTCTGCAGTAATTATTATTGTACAGGAGTGCTAAACCCATAGGGATTATACAGTGCCTGTGGGGTGGGGAGAGGTGGAATAAAAGGCATTCAGACTTAATTTAGGGAACTGGAGCACAGATCTAATTCCTCACATCAAGAGCCCTGCACCAGCATCCAGGAACCTCCCTTGAGGGATGCAGTAATTATATATATATAGTAAAATATTAATGGAATCAGGTGACAACTTTCGTTGTGCACAGAATACTATACGCCAAATAATTTTAACAGTAATGACTCTAATAACTTGAATACTAATTATAATTATACAGTGGACCCCCGGTTAACGAACTTTTTTCATTCCAGTAGTATGTTCAGGTGCCAGTACTGACCGAATTTTTTCCCATAAGGAATATTGTGAAGTAGATTAGTCCATTTCAGACCCCCAAACATACACGTACAAACGCACTTACATAAATACACTTACATAATTGGTCGCATTTGGAGGTGATCGTTAAGTGGGGGTCCACTGTAATAGTAATGGTAATAACAAAAGGATAATGATCAAGTACTGTACTAAGTTATGTCCTCAGGTAAGTGATGACATATGAGACAACTCAAAATGTTAAGTAAACTGACTGATGACTGAGGCAGGACCCAGGAGTTAAGAGCTCATACTTTGTAAACACAGTCCCATGAGAATATTGGCAATAATAATGAAAAATTTTGAAATCAGTGGAATTTTTTATTGATTTATTAAATTCAGAGTTCTGTAGTAAATGGCAAAAGTTAAGAGCAAGTGAAGCTGCCTGCTTGATGAACATGTCTTAATCTTAAATAATGCATCTTTATGCACTATTTAGAGCTTGTAGAGGAGGTCTAGAGCCTGCTGGGTAGACCATAATGCTTGTGAATGAGGTCACAGGCTATGTCAGCAACTTCTTTACTGCAGCCCCAAAACAGTGTTACCCCAGAACCTCCATGACCATAGTTGTGCACCACCTGCAGAACAATAATAATTATTATTATTATTATTATTAATACAGTACTATATTATATTTAGGGGAAGCACTAAACCCATAGGGGTTTTGTGAAAATTTGCTATCATAATGCCATTCTGACAAAAAACTTTTCAAGGTTGCTAGGAACACATCATCGGTGCCAGGGAAAATTGACAGGAGAGGGTTGTTGGGCAATTCGTTGAGAAGGCAAAGAGTGTTATAGGTTATGCCATCTTTCCCTTTTTTCAATGCAGTTTGAAATTCAAAGGGTTATGTTATAGGTATCATATGTGTCTACTGACTCACAAGCAGTAATAATTTTGAGCTTGCTGATACTACTGCTTGTTTTTGCCATTGAAGGTGAACATTCCAGTGTAAACCTTACAGACTTTAGACTTTTGATACTGGTCAAGTAGCATGTCTGCATACATCATGGGCAAGTGATGTTCAAGTAAAGACATATTTGGTTTTGAGATTTTCTTGATTTCTGACCTTTGGGCAGTAGAAGTGGTAAGGTTGCAAAAACTGTTCCCAATACTAACCATATATTTACTTTCTCAATTCCCTGAATTCATGGCTTGCTTTGAGAAACTAAGAGTGAATTAACTGTTTTGCAATATCTATATTTCTCATGCTGAGTTCAAAGCCATGAGTCAGTGGCCCACTCTTGCTGCTGCTCCTTTTTAGTTGAAGTGGAGCTAACTCATTTTACATAGGTGTTATGATAGTTCATTATTTCAGTAACAGTCCTCATATAGTGCATTCACTGTAGTAAATGCTTCATGCTAAGTGTGACATGCCTGGTATACCTTTGATATACCTTTGGAGTTTCGAGAGTTTATCTACTCTGAGCCCGGCCATGGGCCAGGCTCGTTAAGAGTGATGGCATTTCTAACAAAGGGCAGTGGCTTACATCACTTATTGTGTACAGTAGGGTCCCACTTATTCGGCAGGTTAGGTTCCAGGCTACTGCCGGAAAGCAGAACTCCATTTTTTTTCCATTTATAAATGCATATAAATGCCAGATAACAAGTTTAACATATTAAGTTAGCAATAGAACTAGGCATTAAAAATTAAAATGCACACACAGTACACTCATTTTTTACCTCAAAATATTTGTAGTCTTAATGTAGGGCAAAAGGTGAGCAGTATTTACTCTTAAGAAGTCAGGTGTGGTAGCCCTCCTGGCCACCCCACCCCACCCACACATATTATACTACGATGCTTAAAGCTCCCTACAGCAATAAAATGCATATACAGTACACACATTACTTACCTTAAAATATTTGTAGTCTTAAAATGGTCGTAATGTAGGGTGAGAGGTGAAAAGTATTTATTTGTAGAAAGACATGTGGGAGGTATGACATCCTGCCTGGCCACTTACACCTACGCTCCCTTGAGCGATAAAATGCACATGTGGTACACTCATTAATTACCTTAAAATATTTGTAGTCTTAATGTACAGTGAGAGGTGAGTTTTATTTGTCTGAAGTAAAGCTGGGAAGTATAGGTAGCCAGGAAGGTCAGCCCTCCCAACCCCACCCACACATAATGTAAACAAACCAGATGAACGCGTCAGGTTTTCGTCACAAGTCCTACAAGTTGCCTGGCTACCACAGGTTGCCTGTCTACCACAAGTTGCCTGGCTGCCACAAGTTGCCTGGCTACCACAAGTTGCCTGCCTACCACAAGTTGCCTGGCTACCACAAGTTGCTGGCTACCACAAGTCTTACAAGTCCCTTGGCTACCACATCTCATATTTATGTTAATTTATTCTACTGTGGGCTGTATTTAGATGGATTAGGCAAAATGTCTATTTTTTTTTTTACAACAAGTCAGCCGCCCCACCGGGGCGGGGTCCCCCAAAAAAGAAAGAAAATCCCCAAAAAACAAAATGCTGCATCATCATTCACCTTACCACACTCACACATTATCACTTTTTTTTGTAAGGGGCTCAGAATAAAACAGTTTAGAAGCATAACGTAAAATAACAACATACCCCCCCAAAACTGCCAATACCCCAAACCTTCCTTTAAAGTGCAGGCATTGACTTCCCTTTTCAGGACTCAAGTCTATTTTAACTTTTTATACAATTTTAATCTCCTTGGATTATTTTTGTTATACATTTTTAAAAATTGGCTTTTCAAGACCAATAAGACACTCTTTTAGTATTTTAATGTGTCCCTTTTCAGCCACCCAGTGTGTAAGTTTACTGGGTCGGGTACACATACAATCAGTTTTAATAATGTAGGTACGTAGTCTCCTGGGCTACATACCTACACCTCCCTACATAGCTCACGATATTTAATTGGCTAGACCCAATTTTTACCATCGACATACCATTTTTCACTGGTTTACTCATTTAAACAACACCTTTAGATGCCATCATAAACAAAGGGAGAAGTAAAAATAATTCAAGCCGAGAACTGTAAACAAAACTTATGTATTAAGGAGAGTACGTGATGTTTTCCCTCCCCCCTACCACCCCTCCATAGTATAAAAACAAAATTTTTATATACTATGTAAGGGTTTTCTTATATAATTTTGAAGAAAATATCATAGAGGATTAAATGAAAATGCTAATTGACGAAAAATTTAAAAAATTTTAAATTGCCCGAGAGGAAATTTTTCATAATAGAAATTTCTCAAGGAGAAATGAAACAAACCGGTTGGCCCGCACCTTACTAAAGACCACTTGCCTTTAAAAAAAGTTTGTCATAATTTGAGATTGCCGTATTAGGGGAATCCCAAAAAACGGGAACCTACTGTATTACTGAGGGGGTCAATTGTCGCTGACCAGTTCAGCACAATAAATCCCAAACCATGTAAAAGGTCCTGTCCCATGACATATCAAGCCCTACCCCCTTTAGGGGGGGAAAAATATCTAATAAACACCCTTCCATCCATTTGTGTTAATTTTTTTTTTTTTGTAAATCAATGCTTTGCATTAAAATTTCCCTTTAGGGTATCTCTGAGTACTTTTGGGAAGGGTGTTTTTTTCACTTTGCACACTCAACCCATTACATGGGTTGAAATACCAATGCTGTGGCAATTGAAAGGTCTGAGGGTAGATGTCATCACTTTTGTACTTTGATGTTTTTTCATGCCAGCCCACTTTTGACATAGGTCAAGACGGGGGAAGGAACATATCCTACAATTTTAAAAAGGTTTTGTTCTTAGCTAGGATGTATGGTTTTTGAAATACAAATTTTACCTTGTTGGGTTTTCACAGAATAGGTATACAATCTTTTCCCCCCACTTCTGTTTTTCCAAAGATAGCTTAAAAGGTTTTCTTGTGAGCTAGCTTTGCGGGTCCTAATACTGTATATTCTTTGAAGGTGATGATTCGTATATTTACAAATAAAGGGTTTAAAAATATGCCTTTAGAGTCATTTGCGGGCATTTTTTTGGGTTTGCTTAATTTTGCTGAAGTCAGCTTTTTTGGAGTTTTGATATTTCTCTTTCCTCAGCATTTTTGTTTAGTGAGAAACATATTATCCGAAGGGGAGCACGGGGGGGAAAGGGAAGTTTCCCAAGTACAGCGGGAGGAGTGGGAAGGGAAAAGGTTCTAAATGCAGAAGTGTGACATCCAGCGGGTTAGGGGACGTTGGAATGTGACAGGGTATCATTCATAGGGAAACAAGAAAACTGATTACAGGTTTATTTTTTAAAGGGGAAGTACAGTGCTTGTATTTTGAAGAGGTTGGGAATGTTGTAGCTCAGGGGGTCATTAAATTGGGGAAGATAGTTTTAAATTTAAATGATGGTAACATGCTTTTTCTTTAGCTTTCTACTTGGTGTGTGACACCAGCATTAAAAAAAAAATTTTGGGGCCGGGTCAGCCAAAACTTACGGGAACACCGTGATCCACTTGTACTCACGCCTCAAGACAACCCATTTCCCTGAAAGGTCGCAGCCCTACCCATTTTTATCCCCTCAGCTTTCTTGGGCACAACTTTAACAAAAAAAAAATAGATGTTGGGTTAAAGACATACCAATTTTATGTGGGCATTAAAGGGCCAAATTTACTTGTACATTACCATCAAGAATACTTAATCCTTAAGACAGAATAAAGACTTTTCTGTTACATACAGTGAGGTATATTTTATATCTCTTATTTTTTTAAAAACTGGCAGACCCACCGAGCAGGGTGACCAAAACAGAAAAACGAAATTTTCCCTTTTTAAAATTTAGTAAAATTTTTTTTAATATACAGTGTAATCCAAAATATATTTTGGGCCACCAACACTACAGAAAAGTTGGGGGAAATGATACAACCCTTTATCTTCATAAAGAAATCCAACATATTAAATGCATTTTTGTTTACTTGCTATTAACAGTCAATTTTAAAAAAAAAAAATTATAGTAAGAAAATTAGAGTTTTAATAGTTCATGTTGTTGCAACACTATCAGCTGCTATTTCAAATTTTACTGGTTTATGAGGAAGACTGCGCATGTTACCCATGTCAAAGGCAATGGGGAAATTTTTTGGCTCTTGAATGCATTAATGTAGTAAAGCTAAATGAGCTGGTCAAGAGATGATGGGGGGAGACAGGCAGATAACATATAAAGCTGGTAAACTGGGATTGGGGAAATGTAAGTACCATCAAAAACGAAAATAACTAACCAGTATTACAAGACTGAAAATGAGATAAAAATTTTATGGGGTTTGAGTGAACCATTTTAGTTTTAAACAGTGCTTGAATGACATGCTGCACCTTAAGCTTTTGGATAGGTTAAACAGTGAAGTGTAAAGTAACCATTGACCCTAGAAATGTGTGATTTTAATCAATGAAACGTGAAATGCATTTCTTTTTTAAATAAAATTTTGGATGTGAAAATTCAATTCATGAACCCAACCTACCACTCTCAAATCGTATAACATCAAGATTGTTAATGCGCTCTGCCTGTTATAATCTTTCTTGCTGTGTGAAAATTTCGCATGCAGGGCAAACATTTATAAGTACGTACATTTAAAAGATTGTACTAACCAAACCTTTG